GAAGGAGGTCATGTCATGAATGTGCGGGATTGGGTAACGGTCTGGCAAGCAAAGCCGGGCTGATAGGAGGGTGCCAACACGGCGTGCCTTGTACCGCTCCCCGAGAAACAGGATCTTGAAGCCGTTTGTTGCAGACGTCGACCAACAGACTGAAGAATTGGAGAAAGTCTGCACCTAGTATGGCGAACTTGACATCAGAGGCTATGAACACTCAGCTAAATGTTCTGCCGAAACCGAAGTTCAGCGACTGTGAACGATGGCCATATGTTGTTATCACCGTGTTATTGACAGCTTGCAAGGGTGATGCAGTGGGTTTCTTTCTTTCAGCTTGTGACGCCGGTATAATGCTCACCTCGGCGCCTGTGTCAACTAAGAAACATATTCCGTTGTTGTGGTCGGTAATAAAGAATACCGAGGGACGACTTGGCGGTAGCGTAGTAGCACTGGCCGCCCTCAGTGCCTGCCGTGGCTGTTTCCCGAGTGCACGCACGGTGGGACACATTTACGTGCACTACTTCCGAATCTCCGATAATACCAACAGATATGCTCGTGCTGCTTTTGCGATAGCCGCGTGTTAGGCTCGGTTATCGTTTGCGCCCTCCTGCTTGTGTTCAAAGCTGATACTGTTTCGGCAAGTCCAGAAATCTTCTCACGCATCTCTTGAAGTTTGTTTCGAGGCTGTTGCGCTTGCGTGGCAGCCATAGGTGTGGGCGGGGTCATTGCTACCAGTTTGTCAGCAAGTTCTGCAGCTGCAGTGAAATGCTTGGTCTCTGAGGCCGCAACGACCATGCGGACGCCTGAAGGCAACTTTTGCAAAAAAAGTTCTCGGAGCAATGCTCCATCTGTCGTGGTTGATGTCTCGCCGAGCAACTGTTGCATGTGCCGCAAAAGCTGGCTAGGCGTACGGTCGCTGAGTTCCGTGCCGCAAAGCAATTGCTGCAGTTGTGGTTTGGAGGGCATAACTCGGCAAAGAAGGGTTTCTTTTAGCGTTGCATATGCGTTTTCGACAGGTGGTGCGAGCAACAGGTCCCTGATTTCACTGGCTATGGCAGGTGGCAGACTGCTGACTACGTAGTGGTATTTCATAAGGTCTGTGGTGATTAGTCTGGCTGCGAACTGAGATTCCACTTGTATGAATAAAAGTGCGGGGTCCACAGTCCAAAAAGGGGGCAGCTTACTGTCGACTGAGGAGACTGTCGGAGGGGCGTCGGTCGTGGATGTTGAATCCATATTGCGGCTGGTTCGACACTCCAATCGCTGTGTCTGTATTCCGGGTCACCAATGTAGAGATTGCGGTGCTCGGCAGAGCTGCACAAGTGAACAACTCGTGTCCCAAACAACAACTGACTATTATTATCACCCTTCGTTTCGAAGATAACTTTCTCGTGCGGGCTCATGCGCTCTCTGCCCCGCACAGAGAAGTGCCGCTTTGCGTCGTCACAGTAGATTCTGGCTCTTCCGTTTTCATTCGTTCAGGCAAGGTGTTTTACCAACATTTCTTTGGTGTGCCGCTTTTTCCCGTTCCGCGTGTGACGCTTCTGGATTATTCCAAAAGGCCAATTTCGGTTCGAGGCTGCTTATTTTCTGAGGTCTTTTTCGAAAATCGCAGCGCACCACTTTTGTTTTATGTCATCGAACAGGGTACTTGTCTCGTTGGCCTGGATGGTATTAAGGCTTTGAAGCTGCGCATTGAAAGGTCTGAGCTGCAGTGTTTTCAAACCAGCACTGGTACCCAACGCTGAAGTATCTCGGACATGTTCGATAGATTCATCCATACAGCTGCCATCAGCACTTCAGCAAAGGTTTTGCTCTCTGTTCACAAATGAGTTCGGTCTGTCAAGAGGTTTTGTTCACAAGATTAAGACTCATGCGGGAGTTCAGCCAGTAGCATCAAAACTTCGCCAGCTTCCTTTAATGTTACGACCTTGCATGTCTTCCAAACTGCAGCGCTCGGAAAGTTTGGACATCATAGAACGTACGTATTGATGCGTCAGAATGGGTGTCCCCTATTGTAATCATTTGTAAGAAAGATGGAAGTATTTGGCTCTGGTGTAGATTTATGTGAGCCTAACAAGAGCCATCGTTCCGGACAGCTTTCCGCTGCCTCACATCGATGAGTTGCTTCATGCCCTGGTGGGTGCCCCGCACTTTCGAAACTTGACTTAGCGTATGCCTACCACCACGTTCTTCTGGATTATGAGAGTAGGGACTTGACAGCTTTTTTTACACATGAAGAGTTCTACCGCTTACACATGAAGAGTTCTACAATTGTGCGGGTGTCCTCTTTTGCATCGACGATGTCATTATTTTTGGCACATCGGCTGAGAAGCACCTAAAGAACTTGGAGGCAGTTTTACAGCATATCAAAAATGCAGGTCTGAAGCTCAACAGTAAATGCGTGTTTGGAGTTCAGAAGCTCGAATTCTTAAGCCACAAGGTATTTCACCTTGTGGCCTAAGCCACAAGGTGAAATGCCTTGTGGCTTAAAAAAATTTCACCTTGTGGTTTAAAGTTTCACCTTGTGGCTTAAAAAAATTTCACCTTGTGGCTTAAATTTCACCTTGTGGCTTAAAATTTCACCTTGTGGCCTAAAGACCTTGCGGTATTTCGCCACTTCCAGGGAAAGTGGACGCAATTGTGAAAAACCTAGTTCTAACAAATGTCGATGAACTTCGTTCCTTTCTTGGGTTGGTGGAATACTACGCCAAGTTTGTGCCACACTTGGCTGAGATGGTAGAACCAATGAGGGCTCTTTTTGGGAAAGGAGAAACCTTCACCTGGTCTGTTGAGGTGGCAACAGTTCCTGCGCGGTAAAGGCAGTATTATCATCAGATCTTGTCTTGCACATGTTTGATCCTGCGCTTCCAGTTACCATCTCAACTGATGCAACCGAATGTGGTCCAGGAGCAGTCCTCCAGCAGTACGCCAGTGATAATCTTTGTACTGTTGCTTTTACATCACGTACATTATCTCCGGCTGAAAGAAAGTGTGCAGTTGGTGAGAAGGAAGCACTTGAATGCATTTGGGCATGCGAGCATTGGCATACATACCTGTGGGGACGGATCTTCAATCTCCAAACAGACCATCAAGCACTCGTTTCACTTTTGTCTTCACAAGGCTCAGGCCGATGCCCACTTAGAATTGCACGTTGGTGCGCAAGGCTACTACGGTACAATTTCACGATGGAGTACCAGAAACGCTCGTCCAACAGAGTAGCTGATGCTCTGTCATGGTTACCTGTTCATATGGCAGATAGCTGAATTTTGAGGAAAAGATTGATTTCATGGTTAAACCAACTTGCATGACAAAAGAGCAGTTTGAACAAGCAGTTTTGGCTGATTCCACTCTTCAAAAGGTGAAGCTGTTTGTAAATGGGTCTTGGCCATCACACAGAGACTTGCTGCGAGATCTGCAATCATACTTCAGAGCTCGAGAGGAATTGTCAGTAGTGGGTGAATTGCTGATGCATACAAAGAGGAGGCTTGTAGTTCCTCCTTCATCTCTCGTGGCTCAACTTGTGGCAACAGCACACGAAATGCACCAGGGTATTGCACGCACCAAGGCCTGACTTAGGGAACAATTTTGGTGGTCTCGTATGGAGGACATTCACGTGAAAGAAGCAGTCAACAATTGCAGCATCTGTCAAGCAGCAGATAAATCGGCAAAGACGTCACCTGCTCCGCTGCAACCTGTTGAGTTACCGGAGAGACCATGGCAGAAACTTGCAGTTGATATTGTTGGTCCCCTGGAGAGGGCGCCTCCAGGTTGCAGATTTGTCCTGACACTAGCGGACTACTTCTCGAAATGGCCAGAAGTACAGTTTTCAAGCAAATTTCTACAAGCACCCTGACCGAATTTCTGCTCAATGTATTTGCACGGGAAAGATATTCTGAAGAGATAGTTTGTGATAATGGGCCCCAGTTCACATCAAAGGAATTTGTCAACTTCTTACAAGAATGAGTGATCCGTCTGTTGCATTCATCTGTTTATTACCCGCAGGCAAACGGATAGATCGAGCTGTTCAACCGCACGTTCAAGGCTTACCTTCAATTGGCCCGTCTAGAACAACGTCCGCTGCGAACGGCTGTACGGGATTATATTGCTGCATACAGGTGTACGCCACATGCCACAACAGGAGTGGCCCCTGCGGTGCCTTGTGCAGACTACGATTTCGGGTCGCCAACGAGATCAGCTGCCGGACAGACTTCTGCTTCAGAAAGTGTCTCACAACTGCCCGTCAACTCTGCAGAAGAACCTGTGGCGTTGTGCCCAACTGGTCGTCACATTCAGCCGCACCGCAAGAGATGGCCCCTGAACCGATATGGTTACTAACTGTGAATGGATAAATAGTTCGAAGTTGGTGTACCTGTATACCTAATGTATTCAATATTTGTGCATGTATATAGATAATTTGGTGTGTATATATTGAGTGTATCTGGTGTGTATATATTAGTGTGTGTACATTGGTGTGTATATATATTGGTGTGTATGTGGTTGCTATGAACCTATACTAATATATACTAACGTACTAACGCCTTCACAAAACCTAAAATAAATGTGGGAGGGAAAGTGTTGTATCCTGCTGTTTCGGTTTCAGTGTTTAGGTTGGCAACACTGTGTCCTTGTGCTTGTATATATTTGTGAAACGTCTAATAAAACGGAGTATGAATGCAGCCGCTACCCGGAGCGTGTCGTTCACATTACTCCAGGCATGTGATCGCTTTTGTGTTTTGCGTGGCAGCTTTTAAATGCAGCAAAAATAACTAGAAATGATGCAGCAAACTTTAAACAGCCAGGCACAACTTGTTTATGTGATGTATGATCTGCCATGCAAACTTTAGCCATTAAGAAAGTATTTCCTGTTACACCACTGTTGCCAGCAAAATTTAAATTGATGTTCAGAGGTGTTACAGACGTTTATTGATGGATTCTGCTGCTGTGTGCACCAAAATAGCTTGTACAGCAATTCTAAGCTGCTTGACTTTTGTACTTTCCTTCAGGAACGCAGCGTCACCTCTGGGAATGTGTCTACGCCACCGACAAAACCAGCACCATCGTCAGCCGCAGTCAGCACATCACACTCGTTTCGAACCCTCAAATATGCAAGCTACGCACATCATATGGCATCTACACCCCGCCAGGAAGATCTGGACAGGGCATCCTCTTTGAGTGGCGACAGCACCATTTCGCCTTGCAGCGAGGACACGCCGAAAAGCGCAGGGATCTTTGCTGAAACGACAGCTCAAGAGATGCAGATAGGCAGAATGGAGGATAGAAACATGTACTGCGTCAAGACTAGTCTGTCGGGTGATGTGGCAAGCCCACCCCAATCTCGTCGAGTGCAGTTTGACCTGAAGGACTGTTCGCTCAATGAGAGCCATCGGTGTCATTCGGAGGACTGCAGCTTTGCTGACGTGGGATCGGACGCGGACAAGGTTGTAGTCCTCGGCTCCATGAAAGATCGTCTTGCCAGCCACCACCACGTCGTCAACTACAACTTTCGCCCTTTCGTAGGTGAAGGCGCTCGCGGGCATCTGTTCAAGAGACACTGTTCTTGTCTGGTGCTGTTCGAATGCCCTCCGGACCTCGGCTTTGAGTCGTTCCTTTCGTCAACATACAGCAAAGGCTCGTCGAAGAAAGCGCTACTCAACGTGATGTCGACCCCAAACGTGAGACTGCAGCAAGTGAACTGACGAGAGTGGCGGCAATTCAGCAGAATCTTGGTCGATGCAGAACTTTCTTGCGGCAGATCGGTGTGTCGGAGGTCACTTGGAGAGTGTGGGCAGTGATCTTGCCAGCGGGTCAACAGTGTTTCTCGTCTGAACTGCTCAGTCTTGAATGAAAGCTCTAGTAGCAGTATTGTGTGACGCAGGTTTTGCATCAAGACTTATACGGTCATTGCTTGGTGCTGCCATTCATCCAAGCAACATCACCACCTACATTTGGGCACTTCTCGTGCACTGCAGAAGGGTATCAAGGGACCAACACTCAAATGCCAGAAACACTTCTGCACAAGGTGGGACCGCAAGCATCAGCACATGGTGCAAGTATCTTCTACAGCCATATCGAGATTTCAGTTACGCGATTATTCGCTGGCTGAGTGCTTGTGTAGATGTAGGCGTATGTGTAACATCTCATCCCAAAATAAGAGCGACAAACTTTAAACATGCATTCTAACAGCATGCTTTTCTCAGTACTCATTTTTTGTAAGTGCAGCATTGATGATAAATATGTTAAGCTTCATCCGTAGGCACTAGACATGCAAGCTGTAAAAAGTGGCACCAAGTTCACGCAGAAAGTCATGTTGACATATTTATATCTCATTGGTACAGAGGTTAACGCATGTCAATAACAGTGGAACGGCCCATTCCAGCACTGATACCGTGCCTTGATTGATTGATATGTGGGGTTTAACGTCCCAAAACCGCCATATGATTATGAAAGACGTCGTAGTGGAGGGCTCCAATAATTTAGACCACCTGGGGTTCTTTAACATGCACCGAAATCTGAGCACATGGGCTTACAACATTTCCACCTCCATCGGAAATGCAGCCGCCGCAGCCGGGATTCGATGCCCCTACCTGCGGGTCAGCAGCCGAGTACCTTAGCCACTAGACTACCGCGGCGGGGCGCTACCGTGCCATGTATGCAAATAATAGGTAATTTGAGATAACCCACACTTGAGCATGCATCCTGAGCAGCCATACAGGCTAAAATTTGGGCTCTTTGTAATCAGGTGTAATTTGCCAATATAGTCAGTGCAGCCTACAGCACGCAGTTGCAGTGTTCTAGACATGTGTGGTGACCTGTGTACTTGTGTTTAAATATCTGCAATCATAAGTCTGCTCTCTGCAGTAGCTATGCAATGGTGGTACAATGAAATTTGAGCTGATGGCAAGGAAAAACAAAAATATAAGATAGGAACAGATTTGTAGCTTGCGAAGGTTGACGACTGGGCATGTGGATTGTATGACTGTAGATTGTGTAGCGCGTGAAATCAACCGGACCGTCGATTTCGTGCGCTGTCGATCCCATCGGTTTCATGCGCTATACAGTCAACAGATTCGTGCGGGATTTCTATTTCTTTCATTAAGTGAATGAAGAGTCATCAGAAAAACCTACTCATTTTGTATGCAATGAGCTCCAGTGATAACGCATTGTTGGTGCATCATTGAAAGTGTAGCAGGCACTTCATCACAGTGGTTAGAGTTTAGTAACGGTGATTTCTAGAACACTTCAAGTTTGGTACTTACTTGTAAGCACATTTTATGTAACATCTCCGAGTTGTAGCTTTTATGCAATGTGCACTATAGCCTTTGTGATCCATAACATTCATTAAGAGGATTCGAAATTGTAAAGAATACAATTTAAGCTTGATTGATAAAGTAATTTACCGTCTCTCCTAATGGGAGCAAAGCATTAGTGAGTATTAAGCAAGATGATGTAGAAATAAAGTGTTGGTTTTTGGTTTTAATTTTAGCTCTCCATAATCCTGCCAAATTTCTATCAGTGGTTGATAGACTAAAAATATTACAGTAAATTCAGGAGTGAACCATTCAATATTTTAACTTTGGGAACTTGTTCCAAAGGACAACTGCGACATTTTAAGATACGTCGAAATTCATAATGCTGTACAGAATATCAGTATCATGGTTCAGGCGCAGAGCATGAAAGTTAAACTTTTCTATTCAATTATATAATGAAAAAGTTACACATAATAATACTAAACAAATCTTGACTGCTGCTTGTAAAAACATTTAATCAAACTGACCTATCCCTGGTATGTTTTCTGGTGTCGCCAAACTACCGTTGGACCCCTTTATAAGAGGCATGCTCCAGGCGAGGTACCCTGCTCCAAGCAGGGTACCTCGTCTGCATTTTCTTAAGAACACATATTTTACTGTGGGCACAGTGGTGTCTCCTATACTCATCTGTATCTTATATCAGTGCCTCTTATAAATGGGTTTGACTTATTAACAAAGTAGTATGTATGCAATCTGCATGTCAAAGACTGTTAAGTTCCATGTTTCATTTTGCTAATGCAACTGCTGCCAACATTGGCTACCAGCTAGAGCGCAAAGCTCTGTTTGCTCAGCATAGGCTGAACTTTTTCTTTGCAATCTGTATTTTAAAATATGAGACTACCATTATTGAATTTGTAAGTGAACCCATGACATAATTGCTTAAAACACGCATGCTAACTACAAAATACAATATGCATTTAAAGAAACAAAAGTTGCTCGCGAAAACATATGGTGGAAACTCCCGTCAGGCAGCTTAATGGTCGTTTACCTTTTAAACCTCCAGACTCTGGTATCACACATGGTCAGTGACTGCACTTTCATAAAACCGCACCGTGATCATTCCTGAACTGATGAACATTAGTGCCATGAATAGGAAGTATTATGATGAAAACTCGTTGCCTGAATGACTTTCTAGTTGTTTCCAACCACTTTTGCAATTCGGATGTCATTTGTAGCTAGCGAAAAGACATCACAGGAAATGGCAAGTCGCTGGTTCTATTCTGGCCGTGGCAGACGTGTCTCAATGGAAATGAAATGCTAGAGGCCAGTGTGCAATGTCAGTGCACGTTAGAGAACGTCAGATGGTGAAACATTTCTGAGGCCCCCCTACAGTGCTACTCGTAATCGTAGAAATTTTGGCATGTATGGCCCCAAATATTAAGAGAAGCTTCTATGGGTTACAGACTTCAGGGACGGCAGCATAAGTTGTGAAAAACCTAGTGCCCGCGAGCGTACGAAAATGGCTTACGCAAAGAGGCTTCCGAAGATACTCTGGTCATATTCGTATTTCTACGTGCAGGTTTCCAGTATATCGTGCTCTCCCGCCCCTAGTTGGCCATCAGGTGTTAGTGATCTGAAAATATGATCTTTTATCGAGGTTGCCTGCCTTTTCACCAGAGCTGTGCAAATGTAAATATTTTTGGTGCGAAATGGATTCGAATATTGAACTGCAAGTGCAAATCAAATAAAATATTTTCAGAATATTTTTTCAATACTTCGAAGCGATACTGCAAAAATAAAGTTAGAAGAGAATCCTAAGCACATCTTTATGAGACAGCAACATGAATAAGCTTCTGTTGGTCGAGCGGCTGAGGTATTCGGCTGCTGACCCGCGCGTCGTGGGACAAAATGCCGGCTGCGGCAGCTGCATTTTCGGTGGTAGCAAAAGTGCTGTAGGCCCGCGTGCTCAAATTTAAGTGCATGTTAAAGAACCTCAAGTGGTCGAAATTTTCGGAGCCCTCCACTACAGTGCCTCTCGTAATCATACCATGATTTTTGGACGTTGAACCCCACGTATCAATCAATCCATCTTTTGGCCAGGTAGATAAAGTGCTGGCTGGGTGGTGTTTAATAGTTTTCTTATCAAAAATGGGGCAATGCATACGCCCCATTGGATTCGCGTACATTACCCAGTGCAATAGAAGTGTTGCCGCGGACACTTTACATGTGAAATGCAAAAAAGCTATTCCGCCCACAACTTCTCCTCTTTCAATTTCTGTGGAAGGCCAACTGGTCTTGTGCACAACAGTGTGTTCCCTTCGAGTCTGGAGCTCCAAATCTGCTTTGTAGACGTCAATATATACATGTACATCGAAATTTCAGACGCTAAGTACATTTGGCGTCTGACTTTTCAGATTTCCTGCCCGAATTTTATTCTCAAAAGAGCATTAATTGAACCCCTACCCCTGCAACATCTACCATCTCTATGTTGAAACCAGCGCTTTCTTTTTGAGTCAACGCATTTGCAGTTGTAGCAGTCTGTGGTAACAGAATCTGACAGGCGGCTTTGCCACAATACGAGAGAGTAATGGGGTGAAGCAGAATAAAAAAAAATTTGCAGGCATCACAGTCAGTTGGACGTTGACTGTATCTGTCTTTGGAAAGTTCAAATTCTTAGAATAGTAAAATTTCAGTGCAAATTGAATTGAATAGCACTATTAAAAAAATACTCAAAATTTAGAATATTTGTGCACCCCTACTTTTCATTTTGCCTTTTCTTGTTGCATTTCATAGTTTAACGGCTGACTGTCATTGTTGCCTGTAGCAGCGGAAGTGTTGCACTGCTAAGCATGTGGGCAAAGGTCCAATTCCTGGCATGGACGAAGGAAAGGGCTAGATGGGAGTATTGTGCATCGCAATACTCCCATCTCACGCATGCTAAACTTCATTTTTCTTGTCCCCCTTTGCCTGATAGAGAAAGGGCATCTAATTTTTATATCAAAAAGGCAATCTCAACAAGGGTTGAAGTAGGACTGCATACTCTGAAAAATTTTTAAACTGAGAGCTCACTTAAGCATACTGAACACCTTCTCACTTTCATGTAAGCGCAGAAGTTCGCCAAGCCTTCCCCTGTTGTGTGCATTGATATAGCTACGATGCCACATTCCAGATCTAATTGTTCACTCGAAGTGTTAAGGAGTGCTGACAAGACACACTAAACTGTTGCTTTTATTTTGCAAGCTTTCGACAGCGGCGTTCAGTTTTAACACATAAAGACAAAAACTGCTATGCCAAAGCACATAATTTTGGCAGAGACTGCTACACCACGCGGTGCACAAGCAAATTTTACACGGAACACAGATTACGCTATGCACGCGTTAGTTCACGGCTTCATGATCCTTTTGAATTCAGCCAATCACCAAGTGACTTTCTGTACGCTTCCCCATAAGTTGCGCTGGCCGCACTTGCTGTTAGTGTTTCAGTATGCAAGCTTTGTTCTGCTCCATAATCGCAAGCCTCGAACATCAGGTTCAGGGCAAGAGTTAGGAAAGAAAATTAGTGCTACGTTAAGCAACACAGAAACATGAGCATTGGCAGGATTTTCTACATACCCCTGTACATGCACACAAATGACTGTTCAGTGCTTTCATACAAAGTGATCTAATAGTGTGCTGCCTGCGACACAAATTTTTCATCATCATCGATGTTATCTTTTCATGGCATTGGCATGGCATCCTTAGGATAAAAATTTCAACACCTGTTGTGCCCATCTTCGTAAAATTTTAACGTACACTCAAACTTTGACTTTTGCATTTCATGACCTTCGTGTTTGAACTGTCCCCCTTTTTTTTCATTTCCTTATTATGGAATGCTTTCTACGCAGCTATTTATATATTTATATATTTTATTATTTACGGTAGTGTCAGCTGCCAGTTTTTCTGGCTCTGTTGCAGCAACATTTTATAGCAAGCATCTATATATAGTTGTACACATGCGTAACTTAGACATAGTTTAGCAGTGCATTTATCAGCAGGCTTGAAGCTTTTTTAAGCATGAATAATACTGTGTTGCCTGCAGTGACAGTTGTCTCCTTGCTGCGTTTCATTGTACAAACTTCTGCATTACAGTTTTGTATGTACTTTGATGTGTGATAGGT